TTGCAGATTTGGCACAGCAGTTGCTTGTGTGCAAGGAGAAAGGATAGTAATGAGGAGGCTGTTTTCTCTGTTTAAGGGATACTGCAACTGCATGATCTGCAGAGATGGGCATCTGCAGGAGCGGCACCACCTTGGTAGGGGAGCACCAGTGATATGTAAGACAGTGAGAAGTTTATTTTCACCTCCTTTTTGTGGGAGTTGGCTGAGACAGAGTGTGGTTACAGTGCAACCCTACTTCTGCACAACAGAGGTTTTTTGGGGTCATCTGCAGGTGTTTTATGCCCTATTTCTGTGCTAGCACAATGGCAGCACTGCTCTGTACAGGTAAAAAGTTCAGCAGCTTATGGAGAAAATGTTATTCCCCAGCAGCTGCTCATGAATTCTTATGTGCCAGCAGCAGTGCATGAACCATTCTTTGTTACAAGATAAAATCTGACAGAAAAGCATAGCTCCTGACAGAAAAATCTGATGCAATTAAGTTTCTGTGCACAGCTCATAAACTTTGATATGGCAAATAATAGCTAAAATTGATCTTAAATCCAACATTAAAAAAAGTACCCAAACCCGCCACGTTCCACCAAATCGACTCCAGGTATCCATCTATGCTGACTTTGTATAGGCAGATCATGTTTTTCTTTTAAAGAGAAATATTAGTCAACAAAGGAAAAAAATAGGACAGTGTGGATGAACTTCAGGCAAAGGTGAGTTTCTTGCACTGCTTGGAATTAGCAAAAAGTAATTCTGTGGAAAAAGCTGAACAAAAATGACAGGCTAGCTCTGAGGGATGTCTCTTCTTGGGTCAACCACTTAAGTAAAGCCAAAACCATATACTTGATTTTATAACCAGTTTAGATCACACAGCTTTAATTGGGAAGTTGCTACCAGACACCTTTTTGTCTCCGCCGTATTTGCATCTTTGATGAAAAGCATACTTTGGAGGCAAACTAAGGTTTCTTGCTTGTGCCATGTGGGTTAGAAGAGCAGATGAGGGACAGGGACATTGTCAACAGCAATAGCAATGTGGTCCTTGCTGGGAGGAGATGCATGAAGACCATGGGCTGGGGACCAAGCGTGGTCTTCATACTTTTTAGAGTGCATAAAAAATGGACCATGTGAGCATCCTGAGTGTGAAAAAAGATAATATAGAGAAGCAAAAAGACATTGCACTGAGCAGAGCTTTCTATAGGCTTAGGATATTTTCTGTTTCCAGAAGCCGGGTATGGTGTAGTGCAGGTCTGGTGCCTAGTGCACTACTTTATCCCAACTTAATGCAGTGCAAGTGAGGTGAATGTCAACATTTGTGGAATAAGCTACTTTATATATGAACAAAGGCATCCAAAGTTGACTGAAGACCATTCATGTTAACTAAAATGCCAACAACATAAAAGAGAGACTAACAAAACAATAGTAAAATAATATTTGGAAGCAATCTCAGCTAAAGAAGGAACACAAGATTCTCTTTTTCCAATCGTGCAAAATACAGGGGCATTTTATTTCCACTACTGTGTGCCCAGAGCCTAATAGTCACTGTATCACCCCATCACTGAGAGCTGGAAACAGACACCTGAGCAAAAGCTGCCTGCAAAGAGGAATTTCCTTAGACACCGCATTTTGGAGATGCTGAATGATCCTATTATAGACTTATCAAAGCAGTGGGGATTAGTAGAGATAAAACAACTTTCAGTACTGGTCTCTGCCTTTCTTTGCTCCTTTGTTTGTCTAAATAGCTGTTTTGGTGAGTGCAGAGAAATAATAGGAGGCAATTATTGCTTCATGTAATGTTCCATGTTTTGTTTTGTAATCCTTCAGTTCTGTTTATTTTCATTTTAAGCAAAAATGTTCCCCCTGGAATATTATAATCGCCTTTTAGCTTTCCAATGCTTTCCTTTTGCAGAAGGGCTCCTGGCTTTGTATGCACCTGATGGCACCACAAGGTTAGCAGCATCCCCAGGGCTTGGGACATTGAATGCTCGTTGTCTGGGCTGCAGCTCTGAGATCCAGACACAAAACAGTGGGAACAAATCCACCCAGCAGCTCAGCGCAGAGAGCTCCCTCACTGGCATCCCTCTGTGGCATCCGTGGCTCAGCTCCTTTCACCTTCAGCAACCCATAGAGAGATTTTGAATGGTAGAGAAGAAACAGAGGAAACCAGAAAGCTTTTCAAAAGCAGCTTTTTGACAACTTTGAAAAATCTGACCTTATTTGAGCTTTTAGTCATCTTTTAGACCCTGAAAATTTCTATCCATCCTCTCCTTAGTAGGTGATCTTGTCTAAAATCTCCTTAGGAAGACCTAGTGGGGGGTTCATTTATGCTTTTCTCCATTTCCTTGCCTTATCCCTCCAGCCTCTCCTTAGGAGGAACAAGGGGATCTCCTAGAAGCATTCCTGTCATCTGAGCGCTATTAATTAGGGCTACTGGGGTCTGGAGGTACAGGCTTTTTTGGGGGGGGGGAAGATTTTGCCCCAGTAAATCTCTGTCAGAACATAGTTCTGCAGGTAGCACTAGGGATTAAAACTGGGGGGACATCAGCTATTTCTACTGAATGTGCCTCCAGTGGCTGAATCAGTCCCCTTTACTCGAAGCCCTAAAAGTCAGGTTGCTGGAGATGGCATCCCAGTAGATTTAAGAGCTGGTGCCATCATATATGCTGTGTATCTACTGATTGAGGCACTCCAGAAGTGGGTCTGCTGACTTAGTGTGACTGCCTGGATCATAAGATAATGAAATCTTATCTTTCCTTGGGAGAAAACACGCCTGCTCCAAGTACACAGCCTATGTTTAGAAGGGCAGTAAGAGAGCCAGCCCTTTCTGAGGTATGTTTGCATTTGGTGCCACTTTGCAGCAAAAAGGACAAATTATCACCTGTTTACTCCCTCCACTCTTCAAGTCCTTAAAGAAGGGATGCAAGACTACAGAGCTGTTTTGTGATCAGGTACCTCCATAACCACAGTTAACAGACTGCAAGGGCTAAACATGTTTAACTTTTGCTCATATTGCACAGATGACTGCCTATAATCACAGTAATATTTGCATGACCCTGTGTTGCCAGGCTATAAGTATAAGCCTGTGAAGAGTTGTGCAGAAGCTGGAGAGGAAGGACATGTTTAAGCCTTTGCTGGCTCAGGGCCTTAAATGATGGACAAAGAGTGGATGAAGGTGCCAAGGATGGAAGATCATCCATGGTCAGCTGGGAGGCAGAGGGTTGGTGCCTCCTACACCGATGCTTCTCCAAGGTGGCAGTGTACGATCTCCAGACCCCTCCTGCAGCTTAGTCTGGAGCATCACCAAACCCAAAAGGTACACCTGAGCAGGGAGGTGAATCTCACCAATTTGAACTCTATCTATTCTGACACAAAGGCACCCCAAACACTTTACCTAGTTAATGCCATTATTTGAGGAAAATACCACTCTTCAAGGCAACAGGCTTGTTGGACTTGGTGGACTGTTAACTTCAGCACAGGGATGCTCCCATGGACATTAAAAATAAGCACACAAGTGTTTTGCTGAGCTGAAAGGGCTTTGCCACTTACGATTTTGAAATACCAAGAGCAGCTCGCTTGTTCTGCCTGGAGTGTCTTTGTCTCATTCGTGCAAGTTAGTTTTGTCTGGCTCTGTAAGTCCTGCAGCTGGTCCTGGGGAATTACATGGGCCAGCACTCAGTGTTGGCTTGGTGGGTTTTCTCTGCTCGCTCATATGCCGACAGCAGTAAACAAAACCGGGTGCCTGGGCTGAGTGTTCATAGCGGATTAAACACCAAGCCTTAACCGATACTTATTGACAGGCTTTCGCAGCAAAGAGAGGACAGGTGACAATGTTCAAGTAATATACATAATAAAGCTTTGGAGAAGTGTGCTTGGGAGCTGGGGGTGGGGGATAGGAGACAGGAAAATAATGCATAATTCACAAGGCAAATTAATCAGTCCTCTTTCCTCTGCCTGTTGCAATTATATGGAATACTAGTAACCATGAGGTTACTATTTATTATTATTATTATTACTTTTATACCAGGACGCTGAACAGTGGGGATGGTGATATCTGAGTGAGGACGAACTGAAAGCTGCAGTCACATTTAGAGAGGTGCCTCACCAAGATTTCTATCTAGTTGTGCTTTCATTGTGGAAAGGGCTTTTTTTCTCTTTTAATTCTTTCCCCTTTAGATTGGTAGGGAGTTGTGGAAAACGGAGGGTGGGGGTGGTGCGCGTTAGAGCAGAGAGATTGGGTAAAATTATTTTCCTTCATGCTTGGCTAGGCCCCAGTGTGAAAAAGGGGACCCAGCTTAGGGCTGGTGGGAGATTGCAGATAAAAGCAGCTTCATTTCTAACTGACCTTCCATGCGTTCGGCCTGGCTGGGGGAAGGTGGGGGAAGGAACAATGAGAGCCACCTCCAGAAAACCATCCCTCAATACCTGCACCAGGCTCCAGGGAAATGAGGTGGGGAAAAAACAAAAGCAAGAGGCAGGGCTTTGCCTGGAAAGACTTCTGATAACCTCCATAGCAAGAGAGGCATAGACTGGGGAGAAGAGGACATTGCTGTGGCTGGGGACACAGGGGGCCTCTGTGACATGTCACAGTGTGGGATCCATGCAGGTATCAGAACCCTGTTCCAGAGGCTGTCAAAGAAGAGGTCTCAAAGCAGCCAGATGATCTATAGAAGTCAAATCTAAGTTCTGATTCAACAAAAGATTACATCCAACACTCATCATCCATTATTAGCAAGAATGGGTGCGGGCTTGAAACACATGCACAAGCACCCCTGTCACACAACCTTTGTACATCAAGACCCTTTGGAAAACATATGCATTTTGTATCTTTGAAGGAAACAAAACTTTGCATTACTTTGAATGTGATGTGAACTGAGTGAAGGGTCTGATGGAGGATGAAAGGTGCAGGTGGTCTTGATTGGTGCAGGTGATCCTGATTGGTACAGGTGGAGGGAGTTCACCAAGAGCTTGATGGGTTTACACAGGGCCTCAGCAAGGCTTCTTCTCTTTTGCTTGAGAATGGTGCTGGTGCTGGCTGCATCTTTCCTGGAGGTAAGGTGGCCTCTGCTGTGTGCTCTGGAGGAGAGATATTTCTTTATGCAGCCCTGGAGTAGCCGCTTTTTCTTTCTCTCTAGCAATCAAGCATAACACGGTCTCTTTCTTTTCTGTTGCGCAGGGTAAGACCAACCTGGGAGGCTTCTCTGGGGAGGCTCTGGTAGTCATTGCCTTAGCAGAACAGTGTCTTACTGGGTTTAATAGTCTATGGCAAACACTATTTGAGATGGGGTGTGCTTTTTGTAAGGATGGGCAAATCTGCCCGTGGTAAAAGTAGGTGTGAGTCTTTTGGGATGGAAACAGTTGTAATTCTGTTACGTTCAGAGAAAAGGCCTGGGCTTTCTGTGGTGTTAAATTTTGGTGCTGCTTTGAATCCCTCTTTCATATCCCTGAGCAGTTGGGGTGTTGTTTCAAGTAGGAAAGGTGAGAAGAGCTGTTCTGCCCTGAGTGGGGCTGGCTATAGGCTCTTATATTGCGGTGCCTGATAATGATGGCAATAAGCATATATTGCTCTTTTCTCCACTCCAGTGACTGCCATGAGCAACTCAAAGTGCAGATCCTTCCTGGCATGTGTATGATGATCACAGTGTGGGATTCACTCAGTGATTTCCTTTAGATTACTAAAAAAGCTCTTTTTCCCCTAAATCCTAGGCTTGTTTTTCCATTTTGCATAATGTTCTCAGCACCTGGAGGTCCTGATGGCAATTTCAGGCTCTCATTAATGGCGATGTAGCACCACCATCCTCTTGTTTGCAAAGCATCTGCAAGCCCAGTTAATTCTGCTGAAGTGCCAATATTGTCATGGAGCTCTTTAGCACCTTTGTCTGTAGGTTCCCTGTGTGTATTCGTATTTTTGGTGAAGAACTGAGGTGGGGTTTGGAGGTTTGCACAGGGAAGAGCCTGTGACCTGAGAATTCCTTCCTTTCACTTACATAAGGCTCAAAAGCCAGATGTAGAATCTATCAGCAGAGCACACATCCTTGTGAGCAGACTGTTTTTAGAAGCAGATTTAAGACAGAAAGTAGCTGTGAAAATGCTTCCTTGTATTTTGCTTTGTATGTAAAATCAAAAGGGGGTATAAACCCTCTTTTAACTTACATTTCCACTGACATAAGAGGCTCCTCAGACCTTGCTGCTGCTCTTTGAAGTGTCTGTGCTCAGATGACTGTTTTGTTGAAATGCTGAAGACATCTTCTCGGTTTCTGGCCCTTAGCATAGTCCTACCAGAGTATGCTTTCAGAGACACCTGCCCCAAGACAGTCCTGGCCAGTGCAATTAGAACAAAAGGTCTCTAATTAGACAACAGACATCTTTTTGGATTGTGCTATGTTGGAGAGGGTAGAAGGACTTTTGCTTTGCTTGTATATAAATGGTGTGGGTAATCAGGAGATTATTTCCTCAGCTTTTCTTTGAAATGCACTGGAAGTTGAGCAATTGTCTCCCTTGGAAGCCCTGGGTTGTTATTCCCATAAAACTTGAAGTATTACAACTTTAAACATAAACATCAGGTACATTTCAACTGACTTCCCAGCTGAAGATAAGAAACTTCATTGTGTCTCCTTCAAAAGGCTTGCATGTGAAAACAGCTAACAGAGGCATGCTCTCAGGTATACAATGGTTTCTGTATATAAAATGAAAGGAGTAACACTTCCTTCTGTTCCTACCAAGAGCTCTTCCAGCCTCCTGCCATCGAGAAATGGGCTCAGTTTATAGGCATTTTTGCTGAACCACCCAGGTGCCTGTGCAGGATTAAGCTGAAATAGGGGAGGTTTTGCTAAGCAACCTACCCTGTTGCCTGGGGCAGCAGGGGGGTCCAGGGGTGCAGGTGGGTCATCTCTCTGAGATGCTTTATACTGCTGAGCTTGGAAGTCCTCCAGAAGATATCCACTGGATGTTTCTGGATCCTGACAGTTCCTGTACTCTTTTTAGAATCCCTTAAGTTCTGCAAATTTCTATTGCTTCAGATCTTCTGCCCTCATCCTTGACTGCCCCTGACTACAGGACCAGCCCAGTGAGTCCTTTAGAGAAAAAAGATGAGGAGTAAGAATTTCTTGTTTTCCCTCACACACACACACACACACACACACACACAAAATATATATACAAAGGCTGGTTTGTAATTTCTCTAGAGTGGAAACTGCACCTGCCAGTCTGTTTCCTCATGCCTCGGCTCCATGAAGTACTTCAACACAATTCTAACTTGAATTGCATGAGTTTTCCTGCCTGGCTTCAGTTGGATGACTCATGGGTTTCTGAGTTGGTCACATACTTCAGGGTCCTGCTGAATTGAATGGAGCCCTCGAGCTCAAGGATGAAAAATCAGAGCTAGTGTCAAAGAGACACTAGCTCTGATTAGCAGAACAGCTAGTTCTTCAGCATCTCGCCATCCTGCCTTCAAAACCTGCCTCTTGCCCAAGCTCGTGTCAAAATGTTCTGCTTTGGAAGTTGTATTACAGTTTTGTTTGATGAATAGCAGTACAGAGATGTGCTAGGTACTTCATAATGTTTCACATCAGAAACAAGATCTTTTTAGTTTAAAAAGTGTTTTTTTCAGTGTCTTGTTAATCTCTTGCTGTCTGGATGGAGGAAATGTTCTTGCATACCTGAGTTTGCCTAAACCTTTATTTCCAATCTTGGAAGGGCATTGGCAAAGTTAAGAGAGCCTTGATTTTGAGTTAAGTTGGAGAGACACTTTCAATCAAGTGTTAAAGCTGATGAACTCTACTGGCAGTAGACCCCTGTGATGACCCTGAGTGGGCTGCAGTGTTGGGAGGAGACTGCTTTGCCTTCTGCACTGTTAGCACCAGAGGAGTAGCAAATGCATTTGCAGGACTAAGAGTTCAATAGGCTGTAAACTCAAATCTACACACTCAGTGTTGCCTCTCCCTGGTGCTTTCAAGTTTCCAGGGGAAATTTTAGCTGGTTCTCGTAATTTTACTTTAGGTCTTAACCATCTTCTAGGAAGCCTAGTGAGATCCTTTGTCCTGTTCCTTGCAGACACTGGGTTTCTCGTTCCTTCTGGGTTTGTCTTGATTGAGGTGTCTGCTCAAGCCTGCACATGAAATACAGAGCACAGCCTGGACTTCTCCTGTTTCTGCCCAGGGAAATAATGCAAATCTCTTTATACCACCTTTCACCAAAGGAGGGGAGCAGTGAAGTTTGGTTATATCCTGAGGAAGGATTTTGAGAGGTATATACTCTGGTCCTGTTTTTAGGTCCTAAAGACAAATGGGAACAGTTGTTCCCACCATATAAGCTGGGCAGAGCATAAGGGGCTCTGAGACATGGGCAGCAGGGCAAATGCTGCTCTTTTTCCATCCTGTTCTCATTAATAATAGTTGACTGACCTGTTCTTCCTTTACCCCACAAGTCCTACTTAATGTCAGCAAAGCCTGCTAGCTAACATAGTTTTAAAATTTAAAAAAAAAAAAATTACTTGTTATCAATCCAATTTCTACGAGAGGAAATTCTATTAAGTCCCCAGAAGAAAGTGTATTATAGCTGTACTTTCAGAAGCAGACCCTTGAATAAACTTTTTTAGTTATTTCACATAACTTCCATTATGACTGTCATTATGAAGCAGATGAACATTTTCTTGAACAATTAGGCGTGGGTGTATGGAATAAAGACTGCAGTTTGCCTGAGATCATTGAAACCTATCTGTTTGGGTGATTCATTTTCTTCCAACTAGGCTGCCCATAATAAGCTTTTCTTCTCTGGCTTTGTCTTGTTTCGTATTTCAGTCGGCCACAATGCCCAAAGAATTGAAAGAATGTCTTTCCCCATGTCCTTGTGCTGTGACTGAGCCCTGGCAAATAAAAATAAAAGATATTTATTTATTTTTTTTTTTTTTAAAGCAGAAAAGAGAAAGAGGCAGCAAAGCAGACTAAAAATAAAACAAGTGCTGTTTCTTGCAGTGATGGTAACTTGGGGCATGAGGGCCTTGAGAAATGTCTGAGGATGGGAGATGGGCTCTTTCTGCTTCTAATTGGGAGTGAAAAGACATCTGGATGCATATAAGAGATAGGTGGCAGAATATCTCTCATTTTGGCCTGGCAGTTGTATCGGATGGAGCCACATGCAGGCATGGGGATGCACAGAAGACCTAATCTCCTGCTTCTATGACTACAATAAAGTAACCTATGTTAGTAAAGTGTTCCTGGTGACTGGTGGAAAATTCAGCTATCCAGTGTGCATGTGTGTTATGAAGGTTTAACACCTGGTATGCAGACCTGAGATCAAGAAAATGGTATGCAAAATATCTTTACAAATACAGGGTGTCCTCTCTGCTCTCACCCTGTGGTCTGGGATTGCCAATAGAGGTGAAACAAGCCCAGCTTAATGCTTTGCTCAGTTCTTATTTCCCAACAGCTTTTCTTTGGAGCTGATCAGAACGTTGTGCCAACCAGGCTCTGCTGTTGATGAGTCCAGCAGCAAGGAGCCCCAGCAGGTTCCAGTGTCTGTCCTGGTAAAATCTTCTCCTCCTCAGCACGTCTCCTTCTCCCTAAGGGCAACAGCTTACTCCTCCCATACTCCATACTGCACAGACTGCTTTAGCAACTTCAATTTCAAAGGAATTAACCTGAATTTCCTTGTTTTGGTAGTTGTCTTAAAGCATGCTGTGAAATCACGACTGCACCTCATACTCTCCTCTTTAGAGAGCTTGTAAAGCAGTTAGGTGTTTTTTCCTGCACAAACAATGTACATAAATATACCTGAATAATGAGATGACAAGCAGATTTATTGAGGATGTTGTCACTTGACAATCGAGTAGGCTTGTAGTGGGCTAAAGCCTATCTCCATTGTTCATCCAAAATTAAACATCAGCCTACTAGCTGATCCCTTGCTGTTTTACCTCTTGTTGCAAGCAAAACAACAGTAGTACAGCTAAAACTCCTGTCTAGTGGCTAGGACTGTAAGTGTTTCATTACGGTTATTGCCCAAGTCTACACAGCAGCCTGATATTTAGTCTGTACTGCTGCAAATGATATGGAAAT